TTTGTTTCTTTACTCCTTAACAAAGTACACACTGTAGAACTTGAAACCTTCTTGACCATGCAGACACATCAAACTAAGCATGCCCTTAGGCCCTCTGAGAATTATAGAACGCTCTTCCCAATCTATACACACAGCCCCCGATCCCTGAAGATTACTACTTCATTGCCCACCTCATTTTTAGAGTTCTAGATCTCCTCTTACTGTCAGGAACAGCTTTACTTTTCTTCACTGTCACTGAATCTCACTTTCACCTTTCCCCTCCCACTCCCTAATCTGTTGGGGGGTGGAGGAGCCAGACTGGCAAACTTGCAGAAAACGTGTCATATAAGGTTTTACGGATATATGTTCACTGGTCTTTGAGTAAGGGCCTAGGACCTCTCCTGTGAGTAAGGTGCATTGGACAAGAATTTCAAGAGCTCAGAGACCCTTTTTACTTAATTCTGGGTTCCCGTGGAAGTGATAAGTAGATGGGAGTTTGACCTCGGGGTACAAATATCACTGTCATTTGTATTCATGTATAAACATTGTTTTCAGAACAGTTTGTATTCATGATTTTAGGAAGCACTATAGCCTATACTCTGCCATCTATCATCATTCCTCATTTAAACTTTGGATTAAAAAATGAGAAAGAAAAAGGCAAAATACTGACTTTTATAAGTTAGTGATCATCAAATAGCATAGCTTTCTGAGACATCTCTGTCCTGCCCTTTTCTTTCTCAGCCCTTAATTTAGGACTCTCATTACCCAGAAGCTAAGAGACTCACATCATCATAAGCACACCAGGTCATTCTCCCTTCTCAGACACCATTAATTACACCATCTTTTCAATTTCTTAAAGTGGAACCTTGCTGTCATCAAGGCCTCTTCCCGCAATTTCCCCTTTTTAAATCAGGCAATTTCAAGATTCTGGTGCATGTGTTTTTTTCCATGTCTAAGGTGCATTTTACCTGCTTCTCACTACAGCCTTTAAAATGCTAATTCATGGCTCTTGCAGACTTCTGCTTTCCAAACAAGCCTCTCACCTCCCTCTACCAAAATCCATCCCAAATTATAGTGCCCACTCTTTCATCACTGGCCTCTCAATCTCTACTTCGTGAACACTCTCATTGGTTAACTCTCAAAATATTTCTTGCTCTCATGTGAAAGCTATATTTTCACCTTTAGTTCTTTTTATAATACTTCTTACCACCCACCTCCTCCTGTTCCATCTTTACATTAGCACCTTCCAGTTTTACTAGTATATATTCCATATAGTTTACCAATGGCATTAAAGCAATATGTTGGAATTCTCTCTTTTCTCAAGTCTACTCCAGAGGCCTTTCCCTGATCACACCTTAGTATCTTCAACTACCACTCGAGAAATTTTCTTTTCTAAATGCCTTGGAAGTCACTTTCCCCATTTAATTTACTCAACTATTTTCCCTTTTATGTATTTCCCAAAACTTCCAGAGCAATCATTACCAGATTTTCTTCTGTGGTTATTCCACACACACCTCTGCCCCTCCTCCTTCCTCACATTATAATTGTCAACAATACTAGGTCTGAACTTCTGAACATTTATATGGTGCTATATAGAGTTTCACAAATTCCATTCCCCAAACTGTGCAATTCCTTGGTGTCCTCTCACCATTCTATCATTTCTATCTCTATCATAGCTTTCTGGTTTGGACAGTAGAATCCCAATTTCATAGTAAATAAACTCCCTTCTGCCTTCAACTCATTCAGAAAGACTTCCCTCTGGAAATCTGAGCCTGTCTTAAATACACTGCTGTACTCCTGGCTCCTGCAGCCCTCCAGGAGGAAAGGATCTATTCTTCCACAGGATGGACACCTCAGAGTCAGGAGTGGGGGAGGGTCTACTTACTCCTCAGAGCCACTCAAATACCAACCCAGCTTTTTATGTTGCCAGCATCAGGTAAAAGCTTCTACTCTTCCTTCAAGGCCCATGACCTGTGGCTACACTTCCTTCCCCTGCTCCCAGTCTCTTAGTCCTGTCACAAACTCACTTAATACACCTGCTTTCCACATGCTTGACCTCCTCGTGGCCACTATTCTCTTTTACTTACTCCAGTTGCCCACTTTCTGGACCTCACCTTGGACCCATTCACCCCCTAAGATTACGCCCCTTGCAACTTCCCATCCATTCTGTTCCTAAGGCCCTAACCCCAGTTAGTCTGCTCCCTTACCTTAGAGAACATGCCAATCCATCACTCCTCCCATTTCTCCCAGTTGATTGGCCCATCTGGCTTCTCTTCCTTCCCTGCCCAGTTTGGATTCTGGGGCTGATTTCTAGACTGCTCTTTGCCAGTACCCTCAGCTCCCTACCAGCAAACCTTTGGCTGGACTTCCTGACACCAACCCACTACCTGGGCAGCCTCCCATTTCCTCTGACCCCACTCTATGGCTATCATGCTCTAGATCCTTGCTTAGGCCTCCTGCAGTCTCAACGTAATCACCTCCTAAGTGCCAGCTCCATTCATCCACTCCTGGTTTGGTCTGCTCCTTTCCCTTCCAAGCTTCCATTCTGAACAGATGACATGCAAACCTTTCATTTCTATAATAACCTAGTACTTAAAAGTGCTTTTGAATATTTGTTATTTTATTCATAAGAAAATCTCTTATGAGGTGGAAGCTCAAGAATATTGTAGCCAAAAGAAAAATTAAGGTTTATGATGTTATGTGACTTAAGCTCTCACAGTCTCCAGAGTAGAACTGATTGACCACCATGATAATGAGAATATATTTTATTTCAGTCCATTTGAGACACCTATGCTGTGCCCAATTATTCAACATGCTACTTGTGGGGATGACACATTAATCAAAGACAGATAAAGGGACATCACTGTGAAGGCAGGGGTCACCTCAGGGTCAGTTTTCTACATGCAGCCATCCCAGAAGCAAACATTCAGTTGACAACAGCTGAGTCAGAGAGAGAATTGATTCCAATCCAAGAGATGCAGAGAAATCCCATGCAGACCAAGTTGCTCTGTGTCCTCTGTGTGGACCCCCACCATCAAAACCCAACAAATGAAGAGGAGCCATGGCACTGGAAGAGCAACTGAGCCCAGCAATGGTGAATCGGGTAGAGAAGAGAGCAATGTGGAACTTACTGTGGGGACTCCTTCCAGACATAATTAGTATGCATTGGAAGAGAAGACTGGTATGTGATATGCTCACTTCTGAACAAAATAAAATAAAACAGACTGCTCCCCTCCCCATCCCGTGCCATCTAGACATCTACGATGTAATAAAGACCCCAAATACAATCAGGTACAAATCCCAAGGGTTATACAGATAACAATAACATTGAACAAAGACCCAAATTAAATTTAAAAAATTATGAAATATGTGTAAGAAAAACCCAAAGGATATCCCTCTACAAATCTTTCAGCTTCTTGCATAAAAGCTGCTATATTTCATCTGTATTTGTACACATCCCTAATAAAACAAATATTATCTTCCCTAGGATTGCTCCCAACAAAAATGCAAATATTTAGCAAAATAATCACTTACCTTGGAGAAGATCAAAAGGAGATCCTCTAATTTTCCATGTAAATCGCCTGGAGGGCAAATGAAAAATCACTCTTCAGCAGGAAACAAGAAAATGCCCATTTTGTTACAGAATTTTACAAACTGAAATACTGCTAATATAGTCCAACCATTCTCGGGGCATTGGGTTTTTACCCTGTGATGATATTAATTCCAGGGTGCTATGGAAACTTTGTCGCCTTTCTAGAGAGGACAGCATCCAATATTGCAATTATCTATTCACTCTTGCCATTTACGCAGTGCTTACCTTAGTCTGTACCAAGCACTGTATTACAGGTTTACATTAATTATCTTGTTCAGTCCTTATAACCACTCTATCAGATGGATATTATTTTCATTATTCTCATTTTACAAATGAGGCTCAGAGTAGTTAAGTAACTTATGTAAAGTTACCCAACTACCAAGTGTCAGAGCTGGAATTCAAACCCAATTTTATCTCATTTCCAAACTAAAGCCCTCATCGATTATTCTGTAATATAATCTCTAAAGCAGCAATAGTATCTATCCTGGCATCAAACACCCATGTGTTAAAAAAAACACAACACCCATGTGTTTCCTCTATACCCAGTGCATAGCAGGAACTCAATACATACATTTAATTGCTAAATACGTAGCTTTTTAAAGCCATGTTTTAAAGAATATGTTCAGACAGTTGAATTAGAAACTTAAAAAGTATGAGTAGATGGCTCACATTCTTTTGATGAGACAGTTATAAAAAAATTAAAAGGAAAGCATTGCTTTATAAAACTCAGCCAACTAAGGGAAACCATATGAATATATGAAGCCATTAATTTAAAAACAAGAGTGAAAATATGAATATTTAAAAGGCCTACTTGGATAATTATTTCTAGGTAAATATTTATCTTTCATAAGCTCTGATCATAAATATTTACTCTTTGTATCCAACTTAATTACCAAATAGAATTTAATTTGGAAAAAAATTTCCTCAATTTGTTTAAAAACCCACAACCAAATTCAAACAAATATATGCAACAAAATACTCCAATTATAATGGGAATGATAAAATTAAAATCCTTATCACCAGCACTTATTCATAAAATGACTATAATATTAACATTAAGAGCATATTAATACTATTGTATACTTAAATCTCATGATTTCATGTGGTCTCACTCTAAATCTAAAAAATAAAAATGGAAGGACTTTTTACTTATCAGTTAAATATATTTTTTACTTATTTTATTTTTCTAATTGGCTTCAGGGTGATTCATCTTTCAAAGATTTGGATAGACAGAAGTGTTGAAGCTCTCATGCTAAAAATGAATTTGTTTCAGCATATTAAGAGTAGAGACTATAAAAACATTTTTAACTTCTACTTGGGCAGCAAACAAAAAAATCCATATCATGGAAAGATAGCTACAGAAAGGTACTTTCACTGCAAACAAAAACATGAGTGCAAAATTGGTTATGATTTATAACATAACTGTAGACTAAAACACCTATATTTCTTGTGTGTGTGTCATCCTTGCACAGAGGCCATGCTAACCTTCTCTGTATCATTCCAATTTTAGTATATGTGCTGCAGAAGTGAGCATAAAACACCTCCTATATTTCATGCATATTGAGAACCATGTAGCATGTTTAGATGTGCATATAAAATATGCATCTGGAAATTAAGATAATGGTAAAATTACATCACAATTTCTTTCCCTCTCCTACTACTAAATTAAACAGAAGATGTTTTTGAAAGTTTGAACCTAATTTTAAATTTTATTTTAAATAATGGCCAATTTTTATAAGTTCAATGGGGTTATTAAAAATAGAAAATAATTCCCATGCTATGGGAACCTACTGACCTTGGCTTTTCCTTTTACTAATGGTGCTATGTGAGAAAAGCTTAGAAATAAATGCCCAAGATGCAGGGATCATTAAATGAATGGAACTGTCCCATCAATCTATATTCCCTAATCTTTGTCTCACGATGGAAAATGAAACATCAATCAGAGCAGTACATGATGTGGAGTTAAAATAGCAGATACGCAGCTGCCTCTAACTAGAGGGCCTGATTTTAATCCTGACCCTGTCACTAACCAGCTGAGTAAGCTTGGCATGTTAGACAGATGGTCTCTGTAAGAGCTTCTCATTGCTGTGATTCCAGGATTCCATGTCCTCCAATTAATTCATGTCTTCTTCCAGATCCTTTTGTCCAAAGAAAAGTCACAATGGCACCTGGAGGTATACTGAAAATATGCGGGGACAGGCCCTACTCTGTTTGGCCTATTTTATACACTCCGAGAGCAAATCTAGCCCTGGCTCCATAGGCTTCATGCATAGGCATGGCTTCCTAAGTCTCATGACTCCAAATCCTTTGTTCCCATGAAAAGTTAGAGTGGGAGAAGCCTTGAATAAAAGGCCCCCACTGCTGAGATGCCTCATCTGCTTGGCAGAGATGTGGTGGCCTGATTAGGTTGGAATTAAACCATTGAAGACTCTTCAAAAACCTGAGTCAAGGCATGTCATGAAGTATGTGCTGCTGCATCAAGTCCCTGTCACCACTATCAGATGCTAGAAATGGAAATGGTTTAATTAGATTGTCAAATCCACTTCTACCTGCCAGAGTAAAAGAAACACGGGCTAAAAATTGATTTGGAAAATAACAATCACTGTTTTGTAACCTAAAGGCTTAATTAGAAGTTAAGGGAGTTGCTGTTCCTTCCACGCACTCCATTCTCAGACAGTTGCAAGCATGCTGAGAGCACCAACTGTGTTGAATTTCAATGTGTACTGTTTCTTGAAGCAATATCCTACCAGACTGGCCTACAGGATAACACAATCTCAATCTGGTTATTTAGAAGAACAAGGAACAGATTTCTGGGACATTCCCACTCTTCTAAAAGCTGCAGAGACCAGTTGGAAAAATCTAAAACAGCAGCCAAAAGCAGAGAAGACTTTAATCTCCACCCTGCCTTGGGCTTTTCTCTTCCCAGCATAAGTGGCATGCAGAGGCCCACCTGGGAAAAGCAACATGGAACAAAGATAACGAGAGCTAGACAGAGGGCAAAGAACACTTATTCCACCCATGGGTGGTTTCTGTATTAAAATGCTGCCTTTATAAAAAGCTATGGGTTCTTTAATTTCTCACATAATTAATTCCTGCCAGCTGGTATGCAAAACAAAGACAAGATGGGGAACAGTATTATCATGATAGATAACTCTATATTAACACTTTTCCCTTAACACAGTCCAATTTATGCAGTTTTCAAGTTAGGCAAATGACGTGGAACCAAGAAGCTCTAAAATATTAATTTGGCAACTCTACTCTAAAACTTACCACAGATTGTTATCTCTTTGGTGGGACAAGTTCTTATATGAGTAAAATTTGGCATTTGCTTCATGGCTTCCTTAGTTTCGAATAGTATCTCTAAAACATAATAGGCATGGAGTATCTGTGAGGGCAAAACAGAAGAAAAAGATATGACGAACTAGGAAAAAAGGCATGACTGAATAGAAAGTTATAAAGGTGGAGCATATGAACACATTTCAGGTAGCTGTTTTTCAGGACCATCTCTAAATCAGTCTCAAATAGATGATTTCAGCACAGTATCTGGCATATAATAATCCCTCACTAGAGATTTGTAAATTGAATGAATGAATGGTGCCTAGGACATTTGTACTCCCATGCTCTTGACATCACCCATTTACAGAACATTTCTGATTATTCTTGTTCAGTAATTCCAAGAGAAGTGATGGGAAAAAGAGGAGACTCCTTTGCCCTAAGGAAGTGTGAAAATAAATAAATAAAAAGGAGGGTAAGGAGAGAGAATGAGAATGAGAAGTAGAGAGAGACTGATGAAGAGGGGCTGCTTTATATTCGTCTGTAACATCCTGCCACCTAGGATGGAAACTAGGTGCTGCATTCTGAGAGGTCTCAAAAGGAAGCCAGGAGTCCCATGTGTGGCTCAATTGTTGGTACACAGATTGTGTGAGTTTACAGAACAGCAAGCATGTTTATATTGTACAGTCTAAGTATAAAACATATACAAAACCCAAATAAACCATTTGGATTATCTCCTATTATGACCATTCATTCCATTGCTCTCCTCCAATTAAATTCTTGATGACATCATTGTTTTGGACAGATTTACTGTTTTCTCCTCTGGGGTTTTTGTTTGTTTTAAATCCAGTGTGTTGTTCTCCCTTTTTTTAATTATAAAATATTCCAAATTACATAAGCCAAAAAGTAATACAGCCAATAAAAATTTAACAGATGTTAACACCACTTTATGGGTCAGGACTATTGGCAGTCCTAATATAGTAGCCACTAGTCCCATGGGGCTACTGACCACTTGAAATGGGGCTAGTTGAAACTGAGATATGCTATAGGCACAAAATACATAGCAGATTTCAAAGACTTAGTTTGAAAAAAAGCTAAATGTTCCATTAAAAACTTTTAACATATTACAATAATTATATATGCTGGATTAAATAACATATATTATTAAAATTAATTTCTCCTGTTTCTTTTTACTTTTTTAATGGGACTACTTGAAAATTTTAAAATATTTATGTGACTCACATTAAATTTCTATTAGACAGAACTCGTTTAGATTACTGAAGGCTGAGAGAGGGGTCATATCTACATATTGTTCAGTTACTGCTTTGGGTATGGAATTCAGGACATATTGAACCCTTTGGAAGAATCATGACTCATGGTATCCTGAAATTTCCATTTCCCTAGCTACTAAAATAATAAAATTGTTTTCTATCCCAGACCCCAAAAACATATGATTTAAATTTGGAGAATTTTCATTATTAATTTTGTCCAAAGACAGGAATCAGTATTTGAAGTAATGCGAGAATTAGGAGGAAATAGAAGGACTCCTGGATGTTGATTAGAGGGAGAGACCCATCTTTCCTGTCTATCCAAAAACTGGCAGACTACTAAGGATTTTCCCTACAAAAGAATTCTAAATTCTCAGTTTTCTTTCATGAATCTTATATCCTCCTCTCCCTAGTTAATATTTGTATTAACTAGACATGGTATATGAAAACTTGGAGAAATAACGTGAGGCCTATTTTCTTGCAGAGAGGATTTAAATTTTCTTTTGCCATCTGGCTAGGAGCACAATCTGTCTAAGATGATATTTCAATCTCAGGAATTAGGGGATTCAAAACTTTGCTTCAATGCCCAGTCTATTTCTAATTCACTCTTATTGCTAAGGTATGTTCTTAGTGTCCTACCTGAGAATGAGAGTTTTGGGGTAATGGTAGAGAAAATAATGGGGTGGGTACCTCCAAAGCCCATCCCTTCACAGAAAAACTTTAAAAATATCAAGCAAAAAAAAAAAAACTACTGTCATAATCAACTTTGTCAGAGCTCTGGAAAATAGTCAAAATTTATAATTACCAAGCAAAGGCTAAATCAGGAAAAGGCATCTTAAAAATGGCTCAGTGCAAGCAGGATGTAAAGGCTAAGACAAATTTGTAAACAGCCTGGCCAAGCAGTGAAGGGGTGTACCAATACAGACCCTATCCGCAAAGGCTGGGTTTTTCTTTTTTCCCTTTTTTAAAATAGCTCCTGGGGTTCAAGGAGATTCTGTCAAAACATTAGCTGAACACAAGCTAAAGGAACAGAAACACCAGAGACCACACACACAATTATACCGAAAAAATATCTATAGAATGCTCCACCCAACAATCACAGACTACACATTTTTTACAAGTGCACATAGAATATTCCCCAGAATAGTTCAGATGTTGGGCCACAAAGCAAGCCTCAATAGCTTTTATTTTTTAATTGAATTTATTGGACTGTCTTTCTTCAGATTGTATAAATCTTTTCCCTCAATAAATTTTAAAAGATTAGAATCATGCAAAGTATCTTCTCTGACTATAATGAAATGAAACTAAAAGTCAGTAACAGGAGAAAAACTAGAAAATTCACAAATATGTGGAAATCAAACAACATTATCTTAAACAAATGATGGGTCAAAAAAAATCACAAAGGAAATTATAAAATACTCTGAGATTGCCCTGGCCAGGTAGCTCAGTTGGTTAGAGCATCATCCTGATACACCAACGTTGCGGGTTCAATCCCCGATCAGGGCACAAGAATTAATGAATGCACAAATAAGAGGAACAACAAATCTCTCTCTCTCTCTCTCTCAACACACAAATTTTTAAAAAGAAAATAACTTTGAGATGAATGAATATGAAAACACAATACATCAAAACTTATGGGATAGCCCTAACCGGTTTGGCTCAGTGGATAGAGTGTCGGCCTGCAGACTGAAGGGTCCCAGGTTCGATTCCGGTCAAGGGCATGTACCTTGGCTGCGGGCACATCCCCAGTAGGGGGCGTGCAGGAGGCAGCTGATTGATGCTTCTCGCTCATTGATGTTTCTAACTCTCTATCCCTCTCCCTTCCTCTCTGTAAAAATCAATAAAATATATTTTTAAAAAAAACTTATGGGATAAAGCAAAAGTGATGCTCAGACATAAATTTATAGCTGTAAATACCCACATTAAAAAAGAAGATTTCAATTGAAAAGTCTCACTTAACACTAAGGAGTTAGAAAAATAAGAGCAAACTAAA